CTCCTCCTCCTCCTTCTCCTCCTCCTCCTCCTCCCATACCTCCTCCTCCTCCTCCTCCTCCTCCTCCCCCTCCTCCTCCCCCTTTTCATCCTGCCCCGCCTTCGCCCAGGCCCAGAGCTGGATCCAGAGACGGCAGCAGCCGCTGGGAGTGCCCCAGGCGCTCCCCAGTGGGCGGGGGTGAGGCCGCGAGTATGAGAAAGAGGAGGAGAAGAATGATGATGATGATGATGATGATGATGATGATGATGATGATGATGATGATGATGATGATGATGATGATGATGATGATGATGATGATGCTATCCGACGGTGATGATGATGATGACGATTACGATGACGATGATGATGCTGGTCATGATGATATTGGTGATCATGATGATGATGACGATGACGACGACAACGACGATGATGCTGCTGATGATGATGACGACTATGATGATGATGATGATGATGATGATGATGATGATGATGAGGGTGGTGGTGGTGTTGTGGTGTGGTGGGTGTTGGTGGTGGTGTGGTATGATGGCGGCGAGGAGGAGGAGGAGGAGGACGAGGATTAGGAAGGAGACGGCGGGGGCACAGTGAGCAGAATTAGGAGGAGGAGGAGGAGGAGGAGGAGAGGAGGAGGAGAGGAGGAGGAGGGAGGAGGAGGATGAGGAGGAGGAGGAGGAGGAGGAGGAGGTGGAGGACCCAGACCCCCTCGAGTCACAAAAAAATCGGGACGGACGTTTTTGTCCCGTGTTTCCTGTTTCTGAAGGTCCTTACCGGGCCTCGGGGATGTCCAAAAACGACCCAGGATGAAAAAACGGTCCCTGGGAATAGGTCGAGATTCCTGGGGGTCGACGTCATGAAAAAAACATGACGTCGGGGGTCTGGGGGTAGGAGGAGGTGGAGCAGGAGGAGGAAGCGGAGGAGGAATATGAGTAGGAGAGAGGCAGGGGAGGATGGGAGGAGGTGGAGAAGGAGGAGAGGAGGAGGAGAGGAGGGGGAAGGAGGAGGAGGAGGGGAGGAGGGAGGAGGATAGAGGAGGAGGAGGCGGAGGAGGAGGACCCAGACCCCCTCGAGTCACAAACAATCTGGACGGACGTTTTCGTCCCGTGTTTCCTGTTTCCGGAGGTCCTTACCAAGCCTCGGGGCCGTCCAAAAACTACCCAGGATGAAAAACCGGTCCCTGGGAATAGATCGAGACTCTTGGGGGTCGACGTCATGAAAAAACATGACGTCGGGGGTCTGGGGGTAGGAGGAGGAGGAGTAGAGATGACGAGGAGGAGGAAGGAGGGAGGAGGAGAAGGAGGAGAGTAGGAGGGGGAGGAGAGGGAGGAGGAGGAGGAGGATGAGGAGAGGAAGGAGGAGGGGCAGGAGAGGAGGAGGAGGGGCGGGAGGAGGAGAGAAGGGGGAGAAGGAGGAGAGAGGAGGATGCGGAGCAGAGTAATGGGAGAGGAAAAGGACAGGATGATGAGGCGGAGCACAGATAGCAGGGATGAGGAGGGGGGGGAGATGAAGAGTCAGAAAAAGGGGGGAGGAGGAGGAGGAGGAGGAGGAGGAGGAGGAGGAGGAGGAGGAGAATGGAGACCGAATGCGGGAACTCTATCCCCTCACTCGCTCCCGGCGCCGCGCCCCGCAGCGCGCGCGCCACGCGAGGGGCTGGCCACAGCCCTTGAGACCGCAGGCGCGCGACGACGCCCAGGCGGCCGCGGGCGGACACGGGGGGCTGCCCGAGCGCGAGGTGGTCCAGCGCGCAGCGCGCGGCAGCCATAACTGCGTTGGGCCCCACATTGGCCCGCCGCGCTGCGAGGCGCCCACGCTGCGAGGCGCTCGAGCTGGCGGCGCACCGCGCCGCAGGTGCCAGAGCCAACAGCCAGTACCACAGCCAGCTGAAGCCAGTACGACAAGCACGACAGCCACTACGACAGCCATCGCGACAAGGATGGCAGCCAGTGCGACAGCCAGTACGACAACCAACACGACAACCAACACGACAACCAGTGCACAACAAGTATATACGTGAAGGAAAGAGGCGCAGATGAAGAAAACGAACAGTGGGTGTTATAGGAGAGCTCCCCTTGGCTTAAGTACATGGTCGTGGAGGTGCCGACGCCCTTCCCGATATTCTACGGCGGCTACGAGGCCGAGGAGGGCACGAAGGAGATCATGGATGACGTGGAGGGCAACCAGTGCGACCAGAACCACAGCTACACCCAGAGCGAAGATTACTACAATTGGAACGGGCCCATCCAATCCTAAGGTTTGACGGTGGCTGCAACATTGGCTTCCAGCGGCCACCAGCACAGCTGCGGCAAGAAGCAGAGCTTCGAGAACCACCAGCACAGCTACCAGGGCCACCAGCGCAGCTACAACGGCAGGAAGCAAAGCCTGGAGAACCACCACCCGCAGAGCTACCAGGACCACCGTCAGAGCTACCATGGCAGGAAGCTGAACTTCGAGGGCCACCAGCAGACCTTCGATGGCCAGCAGCTGAGCTTGGTGGGCCACCACCAGGGCCACGATGGAACGACGCAGAGAGTCGAGGGCCAGCAACAGAGCTCGGAGGTCCACCAGCAGAGCTTCGAGGGCCACCAGCTGATTCACGAGGGCCACCAGACAAGCTACACAGGCAAGAAGCAGAGCTTCGAGAATCACCAGGAGAGCTACGAGGGCCACCAGCTGAGCTTCGAGAGCCACGAGCAGTGCTGCCAGAGCCACCAGCACTACATCGACGGCAAGAAGGAGAGCATCGAAAACTACCAGCAGAGCTACGACGGCCACAGGCAGAGCTGCGAGAACAACCGGCCAAGCTACGAGAGCCGTCAACAAAGCTCCGAGGGCCACCAGCAAAGCTTCGAGGGCCACCAGCAGAGCTACGACGTCAAGGAGCAACGCTTCGAGAGCCACTTGCTGATATTCTACGCCAGCTAGAAAGCAGAGTTTCGAGAGCCACCCGCAGAGCTCCGAGGGCCACCAGCCGAGCTCCAACCGAGAGACACCAGCACATCTACGAGGGCCACCAGCAGAGCTACGCCGGCAAGAGGCAGACCCCCAAGAGTCACCACCAAAGCGATGCGAGCCACCACCGGAGCGTCCAGAACCACCAGCCGAGCTACGAGGACCAGCAGAAGAGCTACGACAGCACGAAGCAGAGCTTCGAGGAGAAGGAGGGGCAAGAGGAGGACGAGGAGGCGCTGGGCTACGAGGAGACGTTTGACAACCAGGGCCCTCTGGGTCGCAGGGACCTGCTGCGCCACCTGGTGGCGCACTTTGGGAGGGCAGCCACGTGCGACTTGTTGGACTGGAAGCTATGCTGGCCCTCAACGGTCACGGAGGAGTCCTGGGGCTTCTCGGTGTTCAGGCAGGAAAAGGGGCATACCGAAGTGGAGCAACCCAGATCCGCGCCAGGACGGAGAACCTGGAAGTCTATGGGGAGCGCTCTAAGACAAAACCTCGGTTCCATGTACCAAAACCAATCCCAAGCTTTCCAGTATTTCGACACGCTACAAAACGATTGCGTTTTCGAACGGCCGTTCCGATTGCGCGACGGGCCGCGTCGCGGCGCGCGAGGCGCGCGTTGGTGTAGCATGGATCGTTGCCATAGCGGTGCGCAGCGCAGCAGCAGGAGGAGGAACAGTGTAAACCCAAGATGGTCAATGATGTTGCGTTAGCCCGGTACCAACCCCTTCTCTCCAAGTTTGTTGTAGGTCCCTGCAAGAATTGATTGTCACTGAGGGAAGTGCCCCGTTTGAAAACACTCGTTTGAGAGTGCCGAATCGAACCAAACTAACTGTCCTGGGACCCCAGCGTCACGAATCAACGTCACTGTTACGTCCTGGCGATCATGATTCGTGCCAGAACACCATCCGTGGGACTTCGATGCCGCGAGCCTCTCTAAAGCGTTACAAGTTTTCAAGACTCATGTGCTCGGTGCTAAGGCGAGAGCCGCATTTTGAAATCCAACCGCCGTCCATCCGCGAAACTGTTGCATGTGTTCAATACGAGTTTGTGCGGCGCTACAGCGAGAACCACATTTTGAATACCACCCGCCTTGCACCCGTGCAACTGTTGCGAATGCGTCAGACGAGCGTGCCCGGCGCTACTGCGGGAGACACATTTTGGAAAGACCCGCCCTCCATCCGTGCAGTTCTTGCAAATTTGAAGAAGGATGGGCACGGCGCTAAGGCGAAACCAACAGTTTGAAAAGAAGCTGACCTCCATCCTTGAAGCTGTTGCGAACGTTTAAGACGAAAGTACGCGGCGCGAGGGCGAGAGCCACATTTGAGAAACCACCCGCCCTCCATCCGTGAAGCTGCTGCAACTTGTTAAAACGAACGTGTGCGGCGCTGGGCGAGAGCCACATTTTGAAAACCACCCGCCCTCCATTCGTAAAGCTCCTGCAACAGTTGAAGACGAGTGTGCGCGGCGCTCAAACGGGAGCCACATGTTGACAGCCACCTGCCTTCATTCGTGAAGGTCTTGCAATTTCTGAATTTCAGGGTTATAGAAGATGGTGCTGAAGTCTCCGGCGAAACGCCATGCGCGCCCTACCAACACGCTTCGGGGCGCGACAGGGAGGAGTTGTTTACAGTCAGCGCGCCCTCATCCAGGGTGCCCTTTTGTCCTTGCCTCTGCGGCCCGTCCTTTGCCGTTTTCACGGGTCACCCGCCGCCCCAGAAATTAAAATGTCGGACTCCTATCACATTTGGAACATATGCATTACCAGTGGCGGGTCGTTTTTCAATCCCACGACCTTTTCAGTGTCAGGGACGACGTCGGGGTGGTGTGGTGTATATTTTTCCTTCGTTTTTCAAAGGGAAACAACGAAACATGTATACACTAGGATCCCGTATACACCATAATCCGCATTCCTGTGCGAATTTCAGCGCAGGGTCGGGAAAAGCGTCGGTGTATAGAGCTCGTTTCCCTACCAAGGGTCTTGTGTTCTTACCATCCGTCCTCGATGCATGCTTCGACTGTATAAGGAGACGAGATTCAGGGCGGGCCGCTTCGGTGCCGGCGCGCGAAAATGCCGCCCTCCAGTTCGTCACGACCAACCAAGCCATCCAAACCCAACCCGAAGGCCCAAATTGACCCTCGCTTTCCAGTCGGGGAGGGTTGGGGGACATCGAAAAAGCACGTATGGAACCCGTACCTTAAGTCGGGCCTGTCCTTCTACAGGAGGAAAACTCAAAAATAGTCACACAATAGTCTGAGGACGATTTTTGATTCATGTTCGAATATTTTTTTGAGTTTTTTCATATTCTTTTTTCGTCGAATATCTGCCTGTAGAGGGACGCGCCCGACTTAAGCTACTGCCCGGCGCCCGCAGGTGCAAGACCGTCCTCCCCAGCCACTCGCACCAGTGCTGGACCTGCAGCGAGCGGCGGCCTCCGCGCGAGCCCTCGGGGGACCAGGGCGCCCCTGGCGCGAGCCCGCGGAGCTCGTCGCCTCCTCTGGACACCCGCGGGGCGACGCCTGGGGCGCACGGGGAGGGGGGCTCCTCCTCCTCCTCCTCCTCCTCCCCCTCCTCCTCCTCCTCCTCCTCCTCCTCCTCCTCCTCCTCCTCCTCCTCCTCCTCCCCCTCCTCCTCCTCCTCCGCCTCCTCCGCCTCCGCCTCCTCCTCCCGAGGTCAGGTCCTCCATCCCTCCCTGCCATAGAGCAAACGGGTCGTGAGCGTTTCCCCCGTCCTCGAGCTCTCGGAGCCCTCCCTGGACCCTGGGGTTGCCGAGAGACGGCTCAGGGTGGAGAGCTTGGGGGAGAGCTCCGGCGTCCAGGGCGCGGTTTCTCTCAGGACCTGTCTTCTGCATGCCAAGGGGCGCACGGGAGGGGAGGGGAAGAGCGAGTTCGAGTGGCCCATCTCTCATCCCTTCTCCTGCTTTCCTTCCCCGTCTCGGCCGAGGTACGGCTGCGGCAGCTTGCCCTTGCCAACCTTGGAGGCAAAGGCAATGGGCCACATCCTACGGATCACTGGGGTCAAGTCGGGCGTGTCCCTCTACAGCAGGACTATTCAAAGATAGTCAAACATAGTCTCGGGACGATTGTTCGATTATGTTTTGATCATTTTTGATGATTTGTTTACTATTTTCATTTTTCCTCAAAAATTAGCCTATAGAGGGACATGCCCGACCTGACTCTGGGGGTGGGGGGGGTCAGGATTATTGGCCCAGAGTCCCCGCGCAGAGGAAGCCCCCTCTGCTCCTCCGGCGCCCGCTCTTGCTGCTGCTCGTTCTGTCGCTCGTTCGTTCGCTCGTTCGTTCGCAGCTTCAGGGCAGGGAGTGAAAGCCCATTCATAGGGGAACGAACAATGACACAATCATAATGATACCGGAGAGAAGCCCCAATGGCGGCCGCCAAAATCGGCGGCGCAGCTAACCTAACCATATGAATCCGCTCGGACCTCTACAGAGGCAAGCTCTGATTGGGGAGAAACTCGGGGGTCCGCGCGGATTTCTCGGATCGCCGCTGGACCCGGCGCCGGAAGCGCCGCCAGGGGGCCCAGCGCGGATCCGAGAAATCCGCGCGGGCCTCCGCGTTGTTGTGTTTATGCCATTGCTCGCTCCCCTAAGTCACAGAGGGTGGGAGCAAGAAGAGGAGGGATCGGAGCAAGAGCGATGGCAGCAGAGTAGCAGAGCAGCAGCGGCCTGCGAGCTACAACAAAGTGAAGCCCTCCGGGCAGGACAGTGGCCTCTAACGTCCGGCGTAAACTACTGCCTTATCCTGCCAACGGTCCTTCCTCGGATGCCAGTAGCACCGTGCGAATTACAGAAACTGTGTGATTTCATTGGGATGCTTGGGATTCCTGGCATTCCCCGCCCCCCGACAAAAAAGTCACCCTGGCGCCTCCCCCCACGGTTCCGAATCCCAAGCGTCCCAAAGAATTCACAGGGTTTTGCGACGTCAGGGAAGCCCTCACCTTGTGATTGCATGGGGATGCTTAGGATGTCTATCGTGCGAGTCCCAGAAATCAGATGATTTCACTGGGATGATTCGGATTCCTGTGGTTCTTTGGTGTTCCTAACCTCTGAGTCTCCAAGGCCGAGTTTTTCTGTTGGGGGGCAGGGGAAATCCCAGGACTCTCAAGCATCCGGGTGCAATGATAATCACGTGGCGTCTGCGATGAGCACGGAGATCCCCAGCATCCCAGTCGAATCAAAGAGTTTGGCTTCCCTGACGTCGCAAACCCTGTGAGTTCGTTGGGACGCTTGGGATTCGGAGCCCTGGGCGGCTCGAGGGTGATGTTCTGTCGGGGGAGGGGAATCGGAGGAGTCCTCAGCATCCTAGTCAAATCACATGGCTCCTGCAATGAGCTCACCATAACTCCCAGACGTCCAAGTGACATGACAGGGGTTGGGCTTCCCTGACGTCGCGAACCATGCGAATTCACTGTTTTTTTTGTCGGAGGGCAGGAATCCCAGGAATCCCCAGCATCCCAGTGAAATCATATGGTTTCTTTGATTCTTACCCCCGGAATCCCAACCATCCAGGTGAAATCACAGGGGTTGGGCTTCCCTGACGTCGCGAACCCTGCGGATTCATTGGGACGCTCGGGAGTCGGAGCTCTGGGCGGCTCCAGGGTGAATGCTTGCCAGAGGGCGGGAGGTCCTCGGATTCCCAAGCATCCCAGATAAATCATATGGCTTCCGTGATTCGCATCCCAGAAATCCCCAGCATGCCAGTGCTTCCCTGGCGTCGCGAACCCTGCGGATTCATTGGGACTCGTGGCGTTTGGAGCCCTAGAGGGTTCCAGGGTCGACTTTTCTTTGGGGGTGGAGAACCTCAGGAATCTCCAGCATCCCGGTGAAGCCATATTATAGTTTCTTGTATTAGGCACCCCAGAGAGGGAGATGCAGATAGAGAGAGAGAGAGAGGGAAGGGTGAAAGAGAGAACGAGAGAGAGAGAGAGAAACAAAAAACAACATACAAAACAAACAAACAACAACAAACTAACACACAAGCAAAGATAACAGCATAGAGAGAGAGAGAGAACAAACTAAAAACGGCTACCCACCGGTCGTTGAAAGTAGGTATTTTTGGATTCCCAGATCCCAATCTACTTTAAGCGCCTTCCTATTTCAAGAATCTATATTTTTTGTTTTTTTTGGGGGCGGGCGCAAACCTAATCTACTTCTAGGGTTTGGTTGTCACTTCCCTGGGCGACGCTGGTCGCTCGGCCCCTCGGCTGGCCCCATTCCTTGGTTTTGATTGTTTTGTTTGTTTTCGCTTGTCCGTCGGCTGCACTGGTCGCCCCAGTGTCGCCCGCCGCCCCGCGGTCGCTCGGCCTGGCCCCACTATTGGTTTTGTTTGTTTTTGTTTGTTTTCGCTTGCCCGTCGGCTGCACTGGTCGCCCCAGGCTCGCCCACCTCCCCGCGGTCGCTCGGCCCCTCGGCTTGCCCCATGCAATGGTTTTGTTTTTTTTTGTTTTGTTTTTTTTCGCTTGTCCGTCGGCTGCACTGGTCGCCCCGGGCTCGCCCACCTCCCCGCGGTCGCTCGCCCCCTCAGTTTGCCCCATTCCTTGGTTTTGTTTGTTTCTGTTTGTTTTCGCTTGTCCGTCGGCTGCACTGGTCGCCTCAGGCTCGCCCGCCGCCCCGCGGTCACTCGGCCCCTCGGCTGGCCCCATTCCTTGATTTTGTTTGTTTTTGTTTTTTTTCGCTTCTCCGTCGGCTGCACTGGTCGCCCCAGGCTCGCCCGCCGCCCCGCGGTCGCTCGGCCCCTCGGCTGGCCCCATGCACTGGTTTTGTTTGTTTTTGTTTGTTTTCGATTGTCCTTCGGCTGTACTGGTTGCCACAGGTTCGCCCGCCGCGTCTCGGTCGCTCGGCCCCTCGGCTGGCTCATTTTTTTGTTTTGTTTGCTTTTGCTTGTTTTCGCTTGTCCGTCGGCTGCACTGGTCGCCTCAGGCTCGCCCGCCGCCCCGCGGTCGCTCGGCCCTTCGGCTGGCCCCATTCCTTGGTTTTGTTTGTTTCTGTTTGTGTTCGCTTGTCCGTCGGCTGCACTGGTCGCCCCAGGCTCGCCCGCCGCCTTTCGGTCGCTCGCCCCCTCGGCTGGCCCCATTCCTTGGTTTTGTTTGTTTTTTGCTTGTTTTCGCTTGCCCGTCGGCTGCAATGGTCGCCCCGGGCTCGCCCGCCGCACAGCGGTCGCTCTGCCTTTCGGCTGGCCTCATTCCTTTGTTTTGTTTGTGGTTGATTGTTTTCGTTTGTCCGTCGGCTGCACTGGTCGCCACAGGCTCGCCCGCCGCCTTTCGGTCGCTCGACCCCTCGGCTGGCCCAATTCTTTGGTTTTGTTTGTTTTTGTTTGTTTTGGTTTGTCCGTCGGCTGCACTGGTCGCCTCAGGCTCGCCCGCCGCCCTGCGGTCGCTCGGCCTCTCGGCTGGTCGATTTCTGTGTGTTTGTTCGTTTCGTTTGTTTTCGCTTGTCCGTCGGCTGCACTGGTCGCCCCAGGCTCGCCCGCCGCCCCGCGGTCGCTCGGCCCCTCGGCGGGCCCCATTCATGGTTTTGTTTGTTGTTGTTTGTTTTCGCTTGTCCGTCGGCTGCGCTGGTCGCTCCAGGCTCGCCCGCCGCCCCGCGGTCGCTCGGCCTCTCGGCTGGCCCCATTATTTGGTTTGGTTTGTTTTTGTTTGTTTTCGCTTGTCCGTCAGCTGCACTGGTCGCCCCAGGCTCGCCCGCCGCCCCGCGGTCGTTCGGCCCCTCGGCTGGCGCAATTCGTTGGGTTTGTTTGTTTTTGTTTGTTTTCGCCTGTCCGTCGGCTGCAATGGTCGCCCCAGGCTCGCCCGCCGCCCCGCGGTCGCTCGGCCCCTCGGCTGGCCAGATTCGCTGGTTTTCTTTGTTTTTGTTGGTTTTCGCTTGTCCGTCGGCTGCACTGGTCGCCCTGCGCACGCCCGCCGCCTTTCGGTCGCTCGGCACCCCGGCTGGCCCCAGTCCTTGGTTTCGTTTGGTTTCTGTTTGTTTTCGCTTGTCCGTCGGCTGCACTGGTCGCCTCAGGCTCGCCCGCCGCCTTTCGGTCGCGCTGCCCTGCCCCTCGGCTGGCCAAATGCTTAGTTTTGTTTGTTTTTGTTTGTTTTCGCTTGTCCGTCGGCTGCGCTGGTCGCTCCAGGCTCGCCCGCGGCTTTTCGGTCGCTCGGCCCCTCGGCTGGCTCATTTCCGTGGTGTTGTTTGTTTTGGTTTGTTTTCGTTTGTCCGTCGGTTGTACTTGTGGCCCCAGGCTCGCCCGCCGCGTTTCGGTCGCTCTGCCCCTCGGCTGGCCGAATTCAATTGTTTTCTTTGTTTTGTTTGTTTTCGCTTGTCCGTCGGCTGCACTGGTCGCCCCAGCCTCTCCCGCCGCTTTCCGGTCGCTCGGCCCCTCGGATCGCCAAATTCATTGGGTTTGTTTGTTTTTGTTTGTTTTCGCTTGTCCGTCGGCTGCGCTGGTCGCCCCAGGCTCGCCCGCCGCCTTTCGGTCGCCCGGCCCCTCGGCTGGCCCCATT